TTCTCGAAAGTTTTCAAAAGTTGTCATAACAAAAACCCACAAGAGATTTTGCATTCTGCCGGAATATAACTGTATAAAAATGAAAAAATCTCTTCTATTTTGTATAAAAAATATATCGTTTTAATAACCAACGCTCAAGGCAATGCTGCAAATTTGAATGGACAATAAATTTTTTTAGTGCTCTATTGACCGATTCCCGGCACTGCACGTATGTCCTTTTAAATGTGCTCCTCTCGGAGTAACTGGTGAGTTTCTATCAATGTGTGCAGTCTGGTGTTGTCCTATTGAAGCACAATTCCCCTCCTGTTAGCCAATGGTTGGCACTTCTAGCCGATTGCTCCCTTCCGATGGTCCAATTGCTGATATTAAAGATCTGATTTAAAAATTTGATAGTAGGGGAGCAGCTCATAATGGATAATTCCTTGCCAATTCTATCAAACGCGCAAAAAAAGCCCTCCTGGCCGTCAATCCCTACTTGGCGACCGTTTGTGCCAGCTCACTGACCTTAGACCACAACCATTTTCATTTGACGTAGCTGTAAGAGTTCCACTTTTCAGGACCAGTTAGCAACCGCTTAAGGTATGGGTCGAATTTGGTACGATTCAACAGCAATTTGAAGATAGAAATTGAGTTTTTTAAACAAAAAAAATTTAATCATTTTTAATTAAAGTTATTTTAGAGATTTTTAAAATTAATAGACTTTTTATTTTATATAAGTATACATTGGCATTTGAGTAAATAATATTTAACCTAGTAAGTAATATATATATTATGTTATAAAATAAATACATATATAAAGTACTATACTTTCGAAAACTAAATAATTTTATTTACAACTAAAACACGAAACACCCAAGCAGCTTCACTTAAAGCTTTTACTTTATTTGTTTTTTCTTTTTTCCATTTACTATTTTTTATTTATTTTTTATTTTTATTTTTATTTTTATTTTTTTTTTCTCATATTGAAAATATTTGCATTGAAACATCTAGTAGCTATTTACTTAGAAATAAACATGTTCAGTATTGTATTAAGCTACAAATCTTAAAATCCACAAATTACATATAACCAACAAATTCTCCACAATTTCAAAATCAGTGTTTTGAAAAGTTTAATTAGTTTTTTCCGCTATAAGACAATTTTTTAATTCAAGTTTAATTGAAAAAAATATATATAGAAATATTACAAACAATTGCATATCATGGCATACCTACCTACCTATGTATATGCATACATGTGTACATAGTAAATAAAGTAATAATAACAAACCGCAAATACACAACCACATATGCACACATGCACACATACACAACGGATGAAAGACAAATGAACTGGCAACAGAATTTCATAGCCTTTTGTTGACATATTTGTGGCGGTGTAATTTTGCAAAGAAACACCACCACACATTTACAGTACATACAGTACACTACATGCAGCAACAACAAAAATAAATGTAATACAATTACAAAAATGCACAAACCTTGCACGCAGTGTTTGAGTTTGAATAGAAGCAAACTGTGTGTACTCCCACACATCCACAAACCCTCACTCCCACACAGCCAAACATAGAAATACTCGTTGACGTACAATCATAAATGCATACGTGTGTGTAAATGCAAGTGAAGGAAAATACACATACAAACAAACAAACATGCATACAATATTTCAATGTTATAAACACATATATATATATATATAATATAGAAATGATTGCATATGGATTGCCTTATAATAATCATTAATTTGATTTCTTCTACTTCCATTTGTTTTTTTCATCGCCCACCACCACCATCAACACTCCTAATTGTTTACCAACTAAATAAATATATATATATATATATTTAATATATATATATATAAATATATATTTCCATGTGTTTGTGTATGTTGAACAACACATTTGAACACTGAAACGAATCCGTGTCGACTCCAACCACCACCGAACTTAACACAAAACACAGCATCAGGTATTAATATTGGTGGCAGTGTTGGCGGTGTCAGCGTCAGTGGCGTTGGCACCGGAAATGGTAGCGGCGTTGGCGTCAATAATGCCGGCGTACATTTCATATTATCGCCGAGTGAGCTGCAAATCCATGGCAACGTAAGATAATAAATAATATAAATATAAAGATCTCTCTTTTACTCACACACACACACTCTTCTTTCTCCCCACTCTGATTATATATATAAGACAAATTTATATATATACATATAGGTTTATAAATTTTTCTAACACACTCTATTAACGCTCGATCGCTCGCGCACTCCTTTTGTTAGCCTGTTCTCATTAGCAAATAATTATGCATTGTTTTTGGGTGTATTGAAGTGTATATTTTTGTTGTTATGTTGTGACAACAAAACACAAGTGACTAATAATAAATAATTACACATTTTATATTTAAAAAAAAAAGTACTATTTTTAGCCAACACTTGGGCATGCTTGAGTTCTGATTGATAAAAAATAATAATAAAAAATAAAAAAAAAATTATAATTTTTAAAGCAATTTTTTAGTTTTTTTTCTTTCACACAATTGAAAGCACAACTTTTTGCCGTATTCGAAATGAAATAAACAGCAAAATTTTAATATTTTTCTCTTTCAAAATACTTAGCTGCATATGTAAATATATTTTTACATTAATTCAAACTTAATTAATTATTATTTTTAATTTAGTTTATTCCACCATTTACTACTATGCGCAAAATCACTTGTCTATGCATCACTGTTTTATGTCTGTGTACGTGTGTATGTGTGTATATGCTATTTTTTTAAGCAACTGCCACAGGAAAAATACTTTCTCCAAAAACCTCAAAATAGGCACGACAACACAAACCTCTGTGTTTTAAAACTGAAATACAGCGGAAGACGCCTTCAAACATACACACACCCACTGCTGTTATCTGAGTTGCCCACACGTGACACCTTGTCTCACATTCTTGCTCACACATGCCTTTGCAAATGCACTTCTTGAGTACTTTTTGGAAAAAAATTTTCAAATACATGTATTAATTTGCTATGAAAATACCTTTTTTTGATTCACTTTATTCGGATTTTGAATTATATTTTACTTTCCTAAGAACAGAAAAATGTATAAAATTGATATGAAAATGTGGACAATTTGCATGGGCATTGTAACTTTGTTGCCTTTTACTTAAGTATATGAAAATTATGTACGATTTAAACATATTTATATATATACATATTTACTAATATACAAATTACAAAACAGTTACAAACATACATATGTTTATGCATTTTAAGACAATTGAACACACAAAGAAAACGAATTTAATAATATTTTTATTTTAATATTTAAAAAAAAGAATTCTTACAATGGATACGGATTCGATTTTTTGTTTTTCAATTTTTCGTAACTTATTTATCACGAGTACAGAATACTCCATTTTACGGTTCGAAATTACACGTAAATGAAATAAATTAAAAATAAATTCTTTTCATCAAATTCCGTTTTAATTGTAAAGTTTAAAACTTGGCTTTATATGCGAAACACTACATCATTCAAACGACCTCCTTGCGATTTTTTTGCAAACTTCAATACCTATGAGGGGAATTTCGCCTCATTTTTGGCACATATTGTACAGTATCTCAGCTCCACAAAAATAAAAGTCGAATGGTCTCAAGTCACACGATTTCGGTGGCCTATCGACAATGCCAAGACGAGAGATTACGCGTTCGTGAAATTTTTCTCGCAAAAAATCCATATTCATTCGTATTTTGTGACGTGTGCCACCACATATTATCCAAGTCGCGTTCTTCAGTTGCAAACAAAAAAAAGTCGGTTGCCATACGACCCTTAAGAGCCCATTGGCAGTGGGCTATTATCGTTTCAAGGTAATAAGGTTCAATGACAATAAATATTCGCTGAGCGTTCCACGTTATCGATTGGCGCTGTACTGTAACGGTAGCTACTTCCACGTTTTCAAGTAAAAACGGACACTCGTTGAGTATGAATTGGCTTTTCTATGGTATTTTTTTAATGACAAAGAGGCCTGATTACTTTTACCAATTGGACTCAATATGTTTTCATACTGAGATTTTCATTCAAAATCCTGCCATTGAGTACTGGACGAGTACGTACGCGACTTGTTATAGTCGATTACGAAAAAGTTTAGCAAAATGATTCATAAATTGATTTGCAACCTTCCTTGAAGACAGAATCACTTCGTCCGAATTTCATGTAACAGAGGAAATAGGTTTTCACACATCGTAATTAACTGCGAATAAATCAACCTTAAAAAAATGTTAGCAAACTACCAGCTGTTTTAGCAGGCAGATGGCGCTCTAGTATTTTGGCTCTAAGGTCGTCCGATTTTCAGTTCATTTACGTTAGAGGAGATTTTTAATTTATTCCACCATCTATGCATACTTAATATTTCATGCAAATTCATGTCCTGATTTTCATTTCTCTCGTTGGTTTTTTCAATTTAAAGAGAGCAAAAAACGAAGTGTGGCGATCACGATAACTAATGTCCCAGTAATTCCTCTGATAGCGAAATTGGCAATACTCGATAACAAATTCAAGGAGAGCATCGTTATTCCCATCTTCTCGATCTTCTTGTAATAACTTGCTTCGCCCAGAGTCGGCTCAACGTTTGCTATCGTCAACACTTCAAAAGCTTTTGCAAACTTTTTGGCATTTTTTTACCAACTGAATAGTACCATACCCATACCATACTGTCTAGACCACACTGTATGTGTTCTCTCCACCCTAAATGACATTCTTAATTTTAATTGTAAAAGAATTTTAAAAATTTTCATTTAAATTTAATTTAATGAAATATTCAAATAAGTTTAACTGCCGATTCTGCCAAAAAATCAGCAAAGTTCGGCAAAGGCGATAACAAACCGATGAGAGAGAGAGAGCGAGAATAAAAGATCAAAAGTTTCGACGCCGTCCGTACTAATTTTCCCCCCAAGAACAACTATTTTTACTACTAACCGCAATCAACTTGCATAAACCACTATAAAATTTCACTCCACAGGCGTCTTACGTGAACCCTGGAAGCAACAGCGCAGTCTCAACGAACGTGATCTCTTGAGCGTAACGAATTCTTATGGTGCCAATGACTATCGCTTGACAAGCACAAATCGCCTTTACTCATCAGCTGATCGCGATCGCTACGATTTACATCGCGAACGACTCGAACGATATCCACTCACACGAACTGCACGATTGGATGTGCAACAGCAAAACATCTACAACAGAACGAATCACGATCGACAACAACCAGCAAGTGCAGTCTACGGGACACGGCGTGCGCCATCTTCAGTCGCCGCTACGGCGACTACCGGCGGCGGTGGTGGTGGTAGTAGTAGCAACAGCAGTGCTAGTAGCTACCACCCACATCACCAGCAGCAGCAACAGCAATATCACAAAAATCCACAAATCGTTATTGATGATAAGCCACTGCCCGCAAGTGCTTACGATCGTTACGGCAGCACACCCGGCATTTCCGTACGGGGTGGTGGTGGTGGTGGTGAAGAGGGTAGTGCAAGGCGTATTGGTGCTGCGGCTACACGTAGTCTCGGACGTGATCGTAGTCTAATGGCAGATCCTTATTGGGATGATGCCCATTTGACGGGTAGTGGAGCGCAGGATTCGAGACGTTACACGGAACGTAGAATAAAGAAGACTGTACGTTTTGATGGACACGATGATCCATTGATCACTACATCGGCAACAAGTACAGCAGCGACAACGGCGAGTGTGATGGCCGGCGCACTGGCACCGGTAAAACAGATTTTACCATCAACAGCTGTGGATGTGGGTGCGGCCACTATATTGACCAGCGCTAAATTGGGCGCAAATGCAAACACTGCCAATTCAATGAGCATTTCAGATGCCGCCGGTGATTGGACATGTTGGGATGCTGAACGTCAAGGTAGTCAAGATTCAACAACCAAGGATTCGGGCATTGAGACGAGCAGTACGTTTACGAGTAGCGAAGACTCGAATCGCGGCGATGGTCCAAAGGTAGTTATACTCCATGCATTTGATGTGACGTTGATTGTCGCATCGACTTCCAAAGCCTTTTGATACGAATTGTCCCTACCTAAAACCGTGCAAAAATCCGAAGGTCAACCACGACTATATATTTGATCTGTCTCAACTGTGCTTGTGTCTGTTGTGACGTCAACGAAGCGCATAATTTTTTATATTATTTCCTGATTTTTGTTTCAACTCAAAAGGCCTTATTTGTCTCTCCCAGAACTACCACGATACATGCAAGCTTCTCCTTGAAATGTTTTGGTCTGATTTTTAAATAAATTATATGCGAAGTTACTATCATTATTTTACTGTTGTGTTATTGTCGGCTTTGATTTAAACAACATTTGTACACTAACCGAAGAAATTTACACATTGAACAAAGAAGATATTGCTGGTCAAATTGTTTTTGTTTGATCTTTAATATATATATATATACGCATTTATGATTAATTTATGTAAATAAATATAAATCAAGCGACTTTTTTTACATGCATGCTTGTGTCCAAAAATTAATTTATTTGCATAAATTCTATTCTTTTTTCTTACAAAATAGGACGCTTTATTTTTCCATACAAATGAAAATATTAAAAAACAAGAACAAAAAATAAACAAAAAAAATTAATTAAATGAAAGCCAAATAAAATCCTTTTAAAAATATATAAAGAATATTATAATGCAAAAACTAAATAAAATATAAAAAAATAATTGAAAAAGGTTATAGAATAAAAAAAAAACATAAAATAAAAAAATTAAGTAAATTAATATAAGATAAGTCATTAAAAAATTAAAAACATAAAAGAAAAAAAATTTTAAAGCAGTAAAATAAAATAAATGAATATGATATGAAACTAATAAAATTAAAAACAGTAAAAAAAATTAAAATAATAATATAATAAAAAATAACATAACATAAAATATATGAAGACAAAATAAAAAAACATAAAATAAAAATAAATAAAACAAAGCAGAATAAACTTAATTTAAAAAAATAAAAAAAAAAACATAAATCAAATAGTTAAATAAAATAAATCTAAATTAAATTAAACAAAATAAAGGGAAATTAATTGAAATAGTAAAATAATAAAATAAAATAATAAATAACAAAAGCAATATAATGCAAATTTAAGATAAATAAAATGAAATTAAAAATAGAACATTTAAAAAAAAACATAATAGAAATATAATTTTTAATTAAAAAATAAATATTTTCATTGAAATAAAAATATATTTTTTTAACATAATCTAAATTTCTATAAATTTTAAATGTAAGTATGGCACCAAAAACAAAATTAAATAACCTTAAGTAGCAACTCAACAACTAATTGAAAAAAATAAATTAACCAGAGAATATTAAATGAAAAAACCTGTAAAAGTACAACAATTAACTAAAAAAATTAAATAAATACAGTATAAAATAAAATAAAACAAAACAAAATATAGGCAAACACCTAAAATAAAATTATATAATTTATATTTAATTAATAAACGCAAAATCAAATAAAGCAATATAACTTAAAAAAATTATATAAAATAAAACGTATCAAATAAATTAAAATAAAATGAAAAACAAATAAAATAAAAATAAACTAAATAAAATATTTAAGGACAATATAGTATGAAACGAAATAATATAAAATAACATAAAATAAAATAAAATAAACAAATAAATAAAAATAATAAAATAATATAAAATGAATCAAATAAAATAGAAGAATAAAATTGAATAGCATCAATTAAAAAAAGTTAAATAAAATAAAATATTGTAACGAATAATAAAATAAAAAATCTAAATAAATTGAGAATATATTAAATGAAATAAAATAATATAATAAGACCACATAAATTTAAAAAAAAATTAATAAATTTAAATTTCATATTAAAATCAATATAATTTTTAATATAAAATGAAATAAATATCATATATAATGAAATGAAAAAAATAGAAATAAAATTTATAAAATGAAATAAAATAATTTAAAATAAAATGAAAGAAAGTTTTAACTTAAAAAAATATATGATAAAAAATGTAATTACAAAAATAAAATAAATAAAATAATATAAATTAAAATAAAAGTAATGTATAGAAACAAAATAAAATAAAATTTGTTAAAAATTGAAAAAAAAATTTAAAAATAAAATATATTAAACCAAAGAAAATTGATTCAAATAAAACTAAACATTCAAAATTATATATCGTAGGCAAATATAATAAAAAAAATTTAATAGCAATTTATTTAAATTAATTAAAATGAATTGAAAAAATAATAATTAAATAATAAAATTGATAATAAAAACGTTTTCTGTTCAAGAAGAAGATTGCTTTAAAATTAAATATATACATATATAAATTTGAAATAAAGATGCTAACAAATTGCCACAAGCTGTTTGGGTTTCCCTTTGTTCGTTAAAAAATTCTCGAAATTTTTCTAAGCATCCTAGGAAGTGTGTTCTTTTCAAAGGAAACTACTGGAAATGACTTAAAAGATCGTTTTTAAGAATCAAAGTGCAATGAAATGACCCAAACGAAGCCGAGCACTTTCAAAAATTTTTCTGTTTCACTTTTTCCAAAAAATAATGAATTTGTATCCCTCTAAAATCACACTATTAATATTATAAATATGCGCAAAATTTGGAAATCTCATATTTCATTAAGAAAGCACGCAATACATTTTTTTTTTTGCAATGAAAAAAGATTTTTGACATTTAGCGGTAATAACTAGCAAAATAATAAATTTGTTTTTTGGTGGTAATAACTAAAAAAAAATAATAACTAACAAAGGAATTTTTAGTAAGTTTATGGAGCTTAATTTGTGATTTTGCTTTACCACTTTTCCTTTAAATATGTATTTTTATAGTGTTTTTGTACTCAACAAAGTATTTGCACATTTTCTTAAGAAAAATTAATAATATTTGTACGAGTATATGTGCTTGTAGTTCGCACACTTTCACTTTTCAATTCATTGCTATCATTTTTGTTTTACATAAACTTGTTGTTGTGATTTTTTTTTCTTCTTTGTAAAATTATTTTTGCGCTGATGTACACCTTCTGGCATTATCAAGCCTTCAACACCAGATATATTTATTGTAATTGCTTTGTGGTTTTACAATGTCTGCTTGTTGTTTATAGTGTCCATATGTTTCTATAATTATAAATGTATTTAGTGTATATAAAAATATACGTATGTGTCAAAGCACCTACACACAACGTTTCACTCTACAATTTGAATGCCAAAAACTCACTCAGCAGCGACGCATGCAAAAAAAAAATATTAATTTTTAAAGAATTTTTACAATATATTAAAAATGTAAATTATTCAATAAAGTTGTCTATGTATGCGTATGTGTTCTCATTAACATTAAGCTTAAACTCTTATATATATAAAATTTATTCATATACCTTTTTTGTATTGAAGAAATGTGAAAAAAACCAAAAATTCCTGATATTTTGTAGTAAACAAAACGAAACTCTGTGCTTACCATCAATTGTATCGATATGTCCATTGATTTGTTTGTATTTTTGCATAAAAATGTATGCAGCAGAATGTCTTAGAAATTTAAGTGAATTGAGAACTTTGTGAAGCTCGTGCTATTTATCTTTACTAATTTTCTCTGTACATACATATATTATACATATGTAATATAATTATTGAAATCGTGAACATACATATGTATATAATAACATATACATACAGTATGTACAGATATATATAGGAAAGAAATTAAAAATTTCCTATGTCTACTAATTATAAGTATAAAAAAAAAAATTATAAAATATACAATACATATATAGTAATACCTTTGTTACAAGGAAATTATATAAATTTAATTTAAAAAAGATATTAATGAAATATTTTCATATTACATATACTTTTCATTCAACATGTATTTTATGCAACCATCATCTTCGCCACCAATTCCCACCCCACAAAAATACGAAATTAATCAAAAAAAAAAAAAAAATATATATATATATATAACATATATTCGATTGGTCACACCTCTACCACCATACCACTTTACCAACCACCAACCACAATAATTATCATAACCAAATACGAATGTATGTAAAACAACAATCAATCAAAACGACCATTGAAATGACCACGATATCGTCCCACAATCGTTTCTCCTGCCAAACAACAACAACAAACTATAAAATATATGAAAAAAAAAATATTCTTCAAAATCTCTTGAATATTCAAAAACTGTACACTTAGCAACCGGTAAATTGGCAAATATCTGCGGATAATACATGTATGATTGGTCATATGATATTACGAAAATATTACGATGGTGAGGATATACTCGGACTGAAAGTCATAGGCGGTCAGCGGCATACAACGTCAACAGGAGGTGCTGCGAATGCGAGTGGTGGTGCTGCCAGCAATGGATACGCCAATTGTGGTGCGTTCATCGAGAAAGTGAAACGTGGCTCAGTAGCCGACATTGAAGGACAAATACGACCAGGTAAACACACAGAATTTGGCCGAAGCACACAGCCGAATGCATGCACATTGCATTTAGTTTCCTTCATCAAGCACATCGCATTTTATTCGCACCAAATTTTGAGAAATCCAAACATTATTTTATATATTACATAATTACGCACTTTATATAGAAATTTAGCTCGCAGAGCGAACAGCCCGGAATCATTTTTGGTTAGGTAGCTGTGGACATTGGTGTGGGAGCTTCCGTTACCAACTCATTAAGCTTCACTATATACGTGTCTACCTGAACGTGATTAGGTTACTATGATACCTAGTATCTAAAACAAATTTTTAAGAAAGTTGAAAGATTACTTCTTCCCCTTTTCAATATCCTATGAAGTAGTAGACTGTTACGGTTCTTACTCTCTTTGAGTATTATTCTCATTTAGGAAAGTTTATTTGACTTTAACTTTTCCATCTCTATATCTATCTCTGCTAAGTCACATTCGGGATGGGTGATCGTTGCCTGCTCCTACTGCTAATACTCCCAGCAGTTTC